GTGGTGAAGTGTGTGTTTGTGCGTGTAACATACATATACATATATATGAACACACATGTGTGTCTTTACATCTCACCATCTCACCTTAACAGTCACAACATTATATTTAATTTTTATGTTACAGTACTCACCTCTATTATTACCCTAAAAACTCACCTATTAAGATATAACTGCATCAGTTACTCACGCTAATAAGAGTTACAGTCCTACGCCCCGCCCTGTAAATTAAGTACTATTGGTCACTACACTATACTCCCCCTCGTAATATAATGTATATGAGTCAAATAGACATATCACGCCCCGTATCATGTTATAACATACAGATATTATTATATACACTATACTATATATAAGTAAGCGTCATTAATACATCATAAGACCCCGCTCACGTTACCACTCCCCATACTATAAAATTAAAATAAGTAATTAAATAAAACCTATCTATCCGATCAGATCATTATTTAATTAATATATTATAACACATCACACACACACACACACACCCACACACACACAACACACACGCACACGCATGCATATATATATATATACTAATATATATATAATATATATATATTGATATATATTATTCGTCACGTATATATAAATAATAATTGAATAAAGAATACACATACAGAAACACACACCACACACACACACATATATATAAATATATATAAGTATATATATATATATATATATATATATATATATATATATATTATATATATATATATATATATATATATATATATATATATATATATATATGTATGGATATAATGGAAATGCAAGCGAATGACATCGGCAGAAATAAGGTTAAATAGTCAGTTGGGAACCATCATCCTGCATGAGTGTATCGACTGCTAGGAGTGAATGAGTGTGCGAGTCGAAGTGTGAACGGAGCCCCGAAGCAGTGACGTATGTGAGGGTGTGTGCATTCGAATGAAATGAAATGTATAATTATTGAAATGAATATAGAATGTTTTATGCATAGTTTCTTATTTTATACAATATAGAATTTTCTACGAAATACAAAAATTGAAAATAGAGGAAAAAAAATCTATATGACCAAAGAAAGTAAACGGAACTATTGTGATGTACAAATGAAATGTAACAAAAGAAAATGAAATGATGTAACAGATAAAACTAACACTATTAATGAATGTCCAGGGGAATCCCCGAGTGTAATGTCTTATTGACACTCACGCAGCTGCCCAGACGAGACATATGCACCCGTGGGGGCAATATCCAACAACTTTCTCCGGTAAGGAAAAACAAACAATTGTTAAAGACTTTTTATCAAACGGGAAAAAAGTAATATTAAAAGTGAACAAATAGAACGGAAAGAAATCAAGTACACGTTAAATATTGGTTATCAAACGGGAAATAGTAATATAAAAAGTGAATAAAAAATAAAGAAAAGAAATTAAGTAAAATGGTTCTAACAATCAACTGGGTTTCCGGTGAGGTGTAGAAAAGTGTTGAACATGTCACAAACAAGTATGCCGGTCCGCATGTGCGAGGCGTAATACATGAGGCGTAAGGCGTAAGGAGTGAGGAGAAGAGGCCATAAGTGTGAGGCGAGAGAAGAGAGATGTGAGGAAAAGTGATGACGTATCAGCAACACCCGGACGTTGCGTGAGATCTTGTTTGTGGAACTATGACCATATGAGATCACGAACAATGGTCGCAGAATCACGGAGTGCAATATCATATGAATTATTTTGCTGATTACATTTTTTTTTTTTTTTTTTTTTTTACTTTTTTCATAATTCAATTTTTAGTCTTTATGTGTTGTGTGTGAATTTCAATAATAAATCCGGTTAGTACTAGTATTTTTCCTTTAATCCAATTGTTAAATCTGAGCAACAAAGCAGGGGTGATCCGCAGGTTGTAATTCAGATCTCATTAACAATCTTTACTCACATACACACGCATACATAAATATCTTTTCATATTTATCTATCTATATATATACATATAGAGGAGAGGGAGAAATGCATAGATAAACATGAGGTGATTGAAAATATGATAGAAGTAGATATAAATATAATTGCGAATTTGTAAATACATCTTAGGGAATGTATGAATGTAATTATACTAAGTATGAGTAAGATGCATAAAAGATACCACTAAATTTTTAGACAGACTTTCAACGATTTACTTTGAAATATTTTTATGTATAACATTTAAAAAAGTGTCAGGAATGTAATTGTTATCTATTAACTATCTTTATAATTGTAATTATTGCTCGTGATTTTATCAAAGATAATTCTACTTAATGCTGTTGCTGAAGATTATCATGATCTATTTTACAATAATAATTATCCATACCGTTCTCGTTATTGTTATTATCATGATGTCATTATTATCATTACTACTGCTAAATATATTATTGGTATTATTATTACCATCATCATTGTTATTGTTATCATCATTACCATAATTGTTAAAATTTTGTCTAGCATGATTTTTATTACTACTATTAATTTTGTAATCATTATTATCCTTACTACTATTGTTACTATTATTTTGTTATCATTCCTGATACTCCCATTTTTGTCGATATTTTATTATCATTCATACAAAAAAATTTCCTAATGTCATAAAGATTAACCTCATAACATTTTTTTTTGTTACTATTATCATAATTACTATTGAAGTATAATTAGTAACAACAGTAATAGCCGTAATAGTAATACCGATTGTAGTATCTGTGCAATAATTGTAACATTATCATCCCATGATTTCAATATAAGAAAAATTTCAATAATTTTGCTCGTATCGTCAGCATCATTGACCATTCTAATTATATATGGCCTCATAATTATAGTTATAATATTGATAATAGCAGCTTTAATAGTAATAGCAATAGCAATCGATAAATATTAGTAGATATATTTATAATGTTATTCCTATAATGAACACTAAATTTTATACAGGATAAAAAAAAAACTCTGAAAATAATACGATATTACTCTAAATTCAGTTCATAATATGGACTACCTAATACTGTGTCCCAATTTATGACTAATCTTGCTCATTGTGAATATTCTTACCTCATTTTTAAAAGCACACATAATACAAATCACAGACATGCATTAAAAGACATATAACCAAATACACAATACAAAAATACACACACATACAAACAACATATATAAACACACATGTGAATATTTGTCCATGTATATACAAATATATATATATATATATATATATATATATATATATATATATATACTATATATATATATATATATATATATATATATATATATATATAATATATATATGCACACACACACACACCACACACACACACACACACACACACACACACACACACACATATATATATAGTGAGAGAGAGAGAGAAAGAGAGAGAGATAGATAGAGAGATAGATAGAGAGAGAGAGAAAGAGACAGAGAGAGAGAGAGAGAGAAAGAGAGAGACATATATAAATGTACATATACACATATTAACATAAATATTTATTTACATGTGTGTTTGTTGGGGTAGGGGATATTATGAGAGTAAACAAACTAAGAAATGTATTTCCTTCAAGTATCTACAGCGCAACGGGATAAAGGAAATGAAATACAACAATTAAACAAGCAACTGTGAGTACGAAAAAAAAATGGGGTCACTGGGAGTGCGAGAGTAAAGAGAGAGAATGGAAGTATATAAGGAGGAGCTTGACTGGACGAGCCAGCATCTTCCACCATGAAGCTCTTGGTGAGTGGTACTTCCTGTTCCGCTCCCTTAAATAAGAGGGATGTATGTAGTGATATTAAAGTTTATTTACTTCACATAAGCCTGTTCTATAAATATGATCATATGCCATACTCAGGCATGCATACTTTCAGTTAAAAAGTGACATAAACACCCAAATATTAAGACACTTACGCATATATATTCAGACAAACAGAGGGTATGTAATGCGAAAATAATGCAAAATTGAAATAGTGCCCTTGCAAAATAATATCCACGCCCCTTTTATTTTTACAGGTTCTCTCGGCACTCGTGGTCGCAACTTACGCGGCACCTCAGGGCTACAATTTAGCCTCGCCATCGGGAGGTGGATTCTCCCATGGTGGAGGTCACTCATCTGGAAGTGGCATTTCTAGCGGAGTTTCCGGTGGAGGATTCTCAAGTGGCGGTGGAATCTCTGGTGGAGGATTCTCAAGTGGGGATGGAATCTCTGGTGGAGGATTCTCCAGTGGGGGTGGAATCTCCGGTGGAGCATTCTCCAGTG